GGAGGTATAAGCCAGTCATTGTGAACAATACACAACTTCAATTTTAGAATGCTATGACTGGGCCAGTAACGAGATGCGGGCATAAACCTCGAGTTGGTGAAAGGAACAAACCAACGTTGGCAACTGGAAGCATAGCCCACGACACACTGAAGGCCCTCGTGCTGAATCCAGTTTTTCAACGAGATTTGACAATGACAAGCCACTTAGGGGGTACCCGTCAATGTGAAGCGAAGAATTCACTTGACCGTCTCTACTGCCCCAAAGACCTCTTTCTGTTAGCAGTTAACCTAAACCCGCAATGGAACTGTAAAGCTAATTTCAGGCCGGAATCAACGTATGACTTTTATGTAAAGTTGTCAACTTTACATAAAAATGCACTGACACTGGCTGAGATGCGAGGAGAGAGAACAGTAAAGCGGGAGTTCGATGTGACCAGAAAGTTTAACGATCGCGCAAGCCATATGGTTGAAAAAACACCTATTGAACATGTCTGGCGCCGCGAAATCTACGTGCATTATATCACTAACAACTACCCGCAGCCAGCGATCGAAGAAGCAATGGATGAAACATGACATTGTCGGGCGTCCTCGTTATCAAGATCATTATACACGATCCCGATAACACAATGATAGTCGGTCATGGTTAGCAGCAGGGCATACGCCGTAAGTAACACAAACAAAGATTGTGTATCACGACTACAGTCAAGTTCACACTATAACACTAGACTAGAATTCACACCAGGAAAGTTCAAACAAATAAAAAGAAAGAAACGATAAAGAAGGATATTCCAAAGCTTTACTGATGATCGCACCTGAGATAGGCTTGAGTATCCGATGAGAAAAATTACTTCAATTTTTGTTCCTCTCACACAAGTCTGAGTCTTTTTCATCGAACGCAATGTCTCGAGAAGACAACTTCATCTCAACCTAAATAAAACAGTTTGAAGGGATTAGAAGAAAATAAGTAGTCAAAATAACATTGTTACTCACATTGCCGTGCTTCTTCACAGCTAAATCGTTCGCTGGATGCTTCTCCTTCCACTAACCTTCGCTTCGTCGTGCCATCATACCCGTCTCCGTATACTAAATAATATAGATTGTTAGCACTAACACTTCACTAAAGCATTTCTTCTTTTACTGTAGTTACACCTAAAATAAATATAGGAACAAACAAAGATGTGACGAGTAT